ATGAGAGAGAAACATCGATCAGCTGCCTCCTGCACACTCCCTACTGGGGATGTGCCTGCAACCAAGGTACATGCCCTTGACCGGAATCGAACCTGGGACCCTTGAGTCCGCAGGCCGACGCTCTATCCACTCTGAGCCAAAGGTTTGGGCTAATGTGTTTTCATTTTTAAAATGCAACTTAGGACACACTGAGAACTTAGAAATGTTGATAACGTGTTTATATACTGCTTCAGCTTATTCTGATGGTTGTGGAAGTGAATTTAGGATTCAAGTGGCATTGATTTTGGACAGCCACTCTCCAGACGGTTAATAAAAGGTTTGATGGTCAAATCTGGCCTCAAAATGACTTAAAAAATACATTAAGCAAATGAAATCCCAAGGCATTGAAGAACAGCCAATCAAATCCCAGAACCCTTGGCTCTAACCGCTGGATCTGGCTCCCTGCACCTTCTCTTCCTGCTTTTCCCAGGACAGTCCCACTTGTTTGGGGAATGGCATACCACGGTACACGATACAGACATGGCGGGTGCACACCTGGTGTGGTCCCTCAGCCTGGCCAGAGATGGAGGCCTATGGGGGGAGGTAGAGGTACTGACCACCAGGGGGCAGCTCCTGCATTGAGCGCCTGCCCCCTGGTGGTCACTGCACATCATAGCGACTGGTCAACCAGTAGTCCTGGTCGCTTAGGCCTTTATATGTACTAGTATAGATACAGAATTCTAAGTTAAAAACTTATTTTCCTTAATCCTTTTAACAACCATGTGAAGCAGACAGGCTAGACTACACAATTAGCCCCATTTTACAGGCAAGAGTGAAAATCTTATTCCCGTATTTAGTGTAAGAGATCTGGGATACAAACTCTGGGCTTCCACAATGTTCTTTTCCCATGACTTTAGATACATCACTGTAATCTGATTTCACAATGCTCTTCAGTGTTAGAGTAACATCTACTCCTGGCAGGTTAACTCCTGAGGCAACCACCTAATTAATTACCTCATAACCTGGCACACTCTGAGGCACTGTTACACTAACTCAATCTCACAGCTATGTTTGAGGGCCCAGGAGCCAAACTGCAGCAAGGCTGATCTTAAGGGACCAGGCACACTGGCTAAGCATATTTTCAAGTCTTAACCTGGGCCTGGCACACCTTCACCAACTGCTGAGATGGTAGGTTGAGGCAACTGAGTGGCAGAAGAGAAGACACTTATGACAACATAGGCAGGATCAGACCCTTGTCAAGGCTAACGTCCCAGGAGCACTAGTATCATGTTGGTCTATTACAGCATTACCAGCAGGATAGAGAGCAATACTCCTGGAGGGGCCTGCAGCCTAGAATATGCAAGGAAATGTGGGGAGCCAACATGGCCATGGCAGACTCATGCCAGCTCAGCCTGGTTCAGTGACCCTGAGTGGGGGCGATGAAAGGCTTAGAAAAGACAAGAGAATGAAAGCTGGGTCTCAGTGGGACGCTGCTCCTCTCATGGACAGCGCCAGCGCCCACAAGCTGTGTCTTTATTTTATAGCAGATGCCATGAGGCAAAGGGCATGATCAAGATGTTTACAGCACTCTCGTGGGTTTCAACCCTACTCAACTACATGCACCTGAACTTTATCACTCAGGCACGTGGGGCCACGTGTTCAGACCATAGGTTCAAGTTTACAACTATATCTGTTATAATTGTGCTGGGAAGGCTCTGCCCTCCAAGCTGGGACTTGCACGTGGCAATGAGAGGACTGTGCCCTCTCCTCAGTCCCGTGGTTGGCAAACTGTGGCTCACGAGCCACATGTGGCTTTTTGGCCCCTTGAGTGTGGCTCTTCCTAAGCCTTAGGAGTACGCTAATTAAGTTAATAACAATGTACCTACCTATAAAGTTTAAAAAATTTGGCTCTCAAAAGAAATTTCAATCGTTGTACTGTTGATATTTGGCTCTGTTGACTAATGAGTTTGCCGACCACTGCCTCAGTCCAAGGCTTGAACCTGTCCAAAACACTGTAGCCGTGTCCCATAAGGAAAGGGTGTAACTAAGCTTGCCCAGGGCCTAAAAGACCAAATAGTGCCAATTCCATCCATGCCAAACCAAGAAAATGGTTCATTTTTTCCTAATTTTGGGTTCTTAAAGCAGAGGACGGATCATCAGGGAAACCAGAAAATTGATCGTAAAGCCGAGCAGAAATAAATGGGGGACAATATCCCAAGTTAAAGTCGGTATAGGGGCTCAGTCTCTACCACTGTGTTCCTAACAGGAAACACCCATTAGCTTGAAGGGAAAAGGCGATCTTGTAAGCTTTGGTTTTCCACAGGACAGGGAACCAGATTAGCAAGGCCAGGCCTGGGTAACCACTCCTGATAGTGCAGGACTTTCTTGTGTAAGGTGCACGGGTCCCTGATAAGAGTCTATGAACACCCTAAGCCCTTGAGCAAAAATTGGAGTGGATGCATGTCTTTCTGGGGAAATGGTCCTTCCCTTCTCACAAATCCAAGAATAGGTTAAAATCCTGAGCTAGGAAAAGGAAGCCACCAGGTAAATTTAGAGCCAGTCAAGCCTGAGAGCTTTCAAAGCTGTCACCGAAAAGCTGGAACACGGACACACAACAGAGACAATTGAGCCCCATTTTCGTGCTCTTCTAAATGTATTTCAAGTTCTTTCCAAAATGAGGCATTGGGAACCCCAAGTTCCGGTATGCCTCTGGGCTGGGCCCACTGCCGTCTTGAGTTCACGCTTGGGTCCAGAAGACGTGACGAAGGACATCTCCTATCTGTGACGCAGGACCCTCTCCTCCATGGCATGAGTCCTTGGCTGATTTCAGAGGTGGCAGCAGTGGCCAACGTGGGAAACACACTGGACTTTTCCTTTGGAAGTGGGACATCACCACCATCTTTTCCCTGACCCTTCCCCTGCAGTTTCTGAAGATATAGCAGAAAATAATCTTCTTTGAAGATACTGGATAATTCCAAAAAACAGAAACACATGCTTCCAATGCAGTGTGCTTTCAGATATTCTGGGAGGAAGGAAAACACAATTTTGTTAATATAAATGAACTGTGACCTGGCACTTAAGAGTACTGTAGTAACCACAATAAAGAGCCCTTTCAGAGTTAAGATTCCTTCAACAAAATGGATTGTTTAGACCTTCAAATCCTTTCTATTTAGTTTTTAGTATTACTCTTTCCCCACTTTCCGCTAAATAACCACATTAATACAGAGATTTCTTTCACTGCTCAACATTTCCTAGCCTGTAACTCTTGGAATACACAGTCCCATGTCCTAACCAGGCATTCACCCTTCCAAGCACGTCTCCATCCACTAGACTTGTAAATACCAGCCTCCTCTCGCCCCCAATGCCAAAGTTCCTCTCATATACTGGCAAATGCAAAAAGAATTTTTAAGTGACAAAGCTTAGCCCAGAAAGTCAGCAAAGGGCAGTTTGCAGCCCCGCCTCACCTGGGTTTAGTTCAGCTGCCGGATGAGCTGGTTGATGCGTTCACCTCGATAACCGGGGGAGCCCACCTCCTTGAGGAAGCCCACTCTATTCTTGGGAGCATGACGGGCCACCGAGAGATGGAAAGGGCACAAGAATCCTGAGATCACCTGGAAATTCTTCCTTGGGAAGGCAATTTCATGAATGAGGTCTTCCAAGCAAATGACACCAAACTTCCCTAAGAAACACAAGGGCAGCTTCCTTTATTCGACATTTCCCCAGCGTGTGCTCAGAGGCTCTCATACCCCAGAACTGGGCACTCTGGCGGGTTCCTGGGATCTCAAGAAGAATATAACCTGGACCCCACACAGGACCACCAAAGAGCCTTGCTTTTTGCCAAAACTTATCCCTAAGATGCAGTACTCACCCAGATGCTCCTCAATCACTGTGTTGTCTGTCAAAGGGATGACTTTATTCTTGACCTTGGCTTGTCCACGTTTCAAGATGAGCTCCCGGACAGACTTCAGATTGGGAAATCTAAGGGAGGCAGAATAAAGAACAGCCTTAGCTGCCCCCTGGCACACTGCCATATACTGCCACTCAGTCCTGCAGCCTGGCTGAGGAGAGGTGCTCCCAACTACCCCTTCCCCTCACCACGAAGCGTCCTGCAATCACACTGCAGCTGGGATACGAGGGCACACCCAGTGAAGAGGGTAAAAACCAGAGCGGCCTGACTATCCAATTTGAAATTACAATTTATGGACAAAAATGTTACCAGGCAAAAGTTTATTTCCCAGACACAAATAAAGTAAGTCCTGGCTTATAGTCTAGGACAGTGATGGCGAACCTATGACACGCGTGTCAGAGGTGACACGCGAACTCATTTTTTTGGTTGATTTTTCTTTGTTAAATGGCATTTAAATATATAAAATAAATATCAAAAATATAAGTCTTTGTTTTACTATGGTTGCAAATATCAAAAAATTTCTATATGTGACACGGCACCAGAGTTAAGTTAGGGTTTTTCAAAATGCTGACATGCCGAGCTCAAAAGGTTCGCCATCACTGGTCTAGGACTTTGGCCTTAGGTGTCCCTCTACTCAAGATGGTGCAAGAGTTTGCAACTAAATTCAAGCCTTTGCTGGGTTTAATGTTTGGAGGAACATTACTCTTACACAAGCACTGCTCCTAGTTCTGCTTTAAGACTCCAATAATTAGTTTCTGTTCTACCCACTGCACTCAGCTGTGGCCTAGAGCAGTGGTTCTCAACCTTCTGGCCCTTTAAATACAGTTCCTCATGTTGTGACCCAACCATAAAATTATTTTTGTTGCTACTTCATAACTGTAATGTTGCTACTGTTATGAATCATAACGTAAATATCTGATATGCAGGATGGTCTTAGGTGACCCCTGTGAAAGGGTCGTTCGACCGCCAAAGGGGTCGCGACCCAAAGGTTGAGAACCGCTGGCCTAGAGGAACAAGCCCTGCATGGTACTGTCCACGGCACATCACCAGCAGCACGGTATCCCCTGCTCTACCTGCCCCATATCCCAAGGTTCTTGCGGCTGGCCACTGATTTCTGGTGACTGTGGTCACAGCAAAATGTTCTTTCAACACAGCAACGGGAGCCTTGGGGAATAGTACCCTGTGCATTCTAATGTTCTCAACATGCTCAAATACAACCTAATGTGAAGCCACACACACAAAAGCCTTACTCACCCCCAGGTCACATACGGTTCCACTATACGCAGCGTTTTTATGGTCTGGGGGGTCACTCTGACAAAGACACCACTGAAAATCTTCTTCAGGCGAAGCCTTGCAATGGTTTTCTGTACCAGTATGCTCACCCCCCTGATCCTGAAATGAAGAGCAGAGAAAGTCAGGCTCTCTTTCATTTATGTCAGCCCAACCAGCACCTGTGAGATGTACGCCACTCCTGGCCACACCGAGAGCAAGACACAGACTGTGCCTTACAGAGTTCAGTAGAGGAGGAGGCAGCCGCAGAGTGGATCATTTCCACACAATGTGCAGCCATGCCTGAGGTGCTATGGGAACAGAGGTGGTCCCAGAATTTGTGGTGTGTGTGTGGGGGGGTGTAGGCCTATGTATATCAAGCTAAGGAAGCTGGACTTGCTTCTATGGACAGTAAAAGTGATGGAAAATATTAAGTAAAGAAGATCAGATTTCTTTTTGGGTACAGAGAACAGATCTGAGAATGTGACACCAGAAGCAGTAAAAGTTAGAAAACTAAAGTGATAGCCCAAGAAATAGACTATTGACAGTGTAGGAGGTCTGGTAAGCAAGGCTCATAAATATTTAAAATACACGGGTTTCTGGTTTGGGTGATTGGGCAGGGGAAACAGAAAGAGGCAGAGTTTGGGTGAGGCAGGGGAAACAGAAAGAGGCAGAGTTGTATGTGCAAATAGGAACGAGTAAGGAAAATGCCTGGCCAGTGTGGCTCAGTAGTTGAACACTGACCTATGAACCAGGTCACATGCCCAGGTTGCAGGCTGGATCCTCAGTGTGGAGCAGTGCAGGAGGAAGCCAGCCAATGATTCTCTCTCATCATTAATGTTTCTCTATCTCTCTCTCTCCCTCTCTGAAATCAATTAAAAAACGCAAAAAACAAAAAACCCCAACAATTTTCATGTCTCTCCCTAGCGCCGATTATGCTCCATCCACTTGACCTTGGTTGTTCCTAGAGATGCCCTGATTCCCCCACTTCAGGACTTCCTGCAGCTCCCATGGAAAGCCTTTCCCTAACACTGGTGAACTCCTTACATGTTTGCAGGCCTCAGCTTCAAGCTCCTGCTTTAGAAGAGTGTCTTCAACCTGTATACACACTGTCCCCCCACCAATCCAGAACTTAACCCTCACAGCACATAGTGTATTTTCATGTCTATTTGCCTAAGATCAGTTCCTTAACCTCAAAGACAAAACCTATGCTGAGCTCAACCCTGAATTCCCGGCACAACTCACCTAGTGGCTTCAGGCCTATTTTTACCTCATCTCCCTAGAAAGGCGTCTAGAGCCGAATCACTAGTTTGCCCCCAGCCTCGCGTAGCTGAGCGAGTGGCCTACCTTTGGATGCGCACAACGAAGGCCAAGGAATGTTCATCTGGCACCTCCAAACCGTGCGGCTTCACTTCCAGTCGTCTGAGGCGCACCTTGTCACGTCGCTGCCGCCAGGCATCGTGCAGGAACCATTCCAGTCGCTTAAACCTGATATCTTTTCCTTTCCTCTGCTACGGAGAGGCAGACCAGCATCACCACTTGGTGTCTCTAGTCACCTTTACTTCCAGGACAGTAAGGCATTAATCACTATCAATAGAGCTTATCTCCCCTTACGTCTGCAAAGGGAGCAAACCAACTCCTTCATTCTCATGTAAAGAAAAAATGAGATTGTCAAGGGCGGGGGGGAAAAAAAAGGACACATATGTAATACCCTGTGTAATACTTTAAGCAATAAAAAAAACAAAAACACAGTTGACTTTTACCTTCTAAAAATAAACAAAAACAAACAAAAAAAAAGAAAAAATGAGACACCAAGTGAAGATGGAGTTGAGAAAACCTGGGAACCGCTGAGAAAAGTCCTTGGTAAGTTCACTCACGTGCTGTTAACCAATGTTTACCTACAGGCGTTTTTGGGAACCTAACAGTTAAGCATCCTAAAGTACAAAACACGCACGCGTTTTGTTCCCTGCCTCCAAAATATATATATTTACCCCAAAACACTGAGCAAATAGCACATTTAAAAAAAGATGCTAAGATTGTTTTCCCCAGTGACACGTCTGGTCTCTCAAATCACTTGGTATGAACCCAGATGGTACAAGCTTCCCTCCCACGTGTTCCTGAACAAACTACTCCAGTATTTTGCCCACAGTTAGCGTTCGATAAAGATTTGCTAAATGAAGGCACGAACCATCGAACTGACGGGGGTGGGGCACCAAATCCAATTCAACCAGAGCCAGATAAAAATCAACACATGATCACTCTAACTCCATCCTCCTGGGTCCCCACAATTACCTCCTTCTTTTCCAAAAGTGCCCGCTTTGCCTGGGTGGCTTTGAGGGCCTGGTACGCCTTCCTCTTTTTCAGGAGGTTTTCTGGAACCAAAGGGATCTTCTTTCTTTGCCTGATACAGAAAATTGAGGTCAGCGACAATGTCTGGGAAACGCATCTTCAATGGACCTCCAAACCATTTCCTAGGCTTCCGCAAACATTACCGTCTTCAAAGTCCTAAGAACCGAGACTCCCCGGAAACCTGTGGCTCTGACTCCGGTCCTCCAAGTGGACCGCCCCCGCCCCGCTTGGAAGCCTTAGAGCAGTGGTTCTCAACCTTCCTAACGCCGCGACCCTTTAATACAGTTCCTCATGTGGTGGTGACCCCCAACCATAAAATTATTTTCATTGCTACTTCATAACTGTAGTTTTGCTACTGTTATGAATCGTAATGTAAATATCTGATATGCAGGATGTATTTCCATTGTTACAAATTGAACATAATTAAAGCATAGTGCTTAATCACAAAAACAATATGCAATTATATATGTGTTTTCCGATGGTCTTAGGCGACCCCTGTGAAAGGGTCGTTCGACCCCCACCCCCCTCAAAGGGGTCGTGACTCACAGGTTGAGAACCGCTGCTTAGCGAGTCATGAACTTCCGCCCTGGCCCGAGCACCAAACCTATTCGTCAGGGCACACGCCCGGACTGAGGTGCCTACCCGAACAACCGATGGATGTTTCTCTCTTTCTCTAAAATCAATGAAAACATACAAAAAATCACGAACCCTTTAGCCACTGTTCCTCCTCATGTCCAAGTAGCTTTTACTGACACAGCCTTTCACAGACACTAGCAGCGAGGACATCCTTGTAAAACCCTGGGGCTGGGGCGGGCGCAGACCCATTCGCAGCGGGAATCCTAAATCAGGCTCGGTGAACCCAACTCCAGCCCCGCGGCCTGGAAGTCAATCCTCGCCCCTCCATGTCACCGGAACTTGACGGCCCCCGCTGCCCGCCGGCCCGCCCGAGCCCTACAGTCCCCGCTCTACACCCCCATCCTCTGTAATCTGGAGCCTTTTCCATTCCCTTCCTTCAGACCACAAGTATCCTTATTTCCCGCCAACCCGTGGATGGCACCGGATGCCCTAGGACCCATGCCAGAGACTCAGAGTCCCAAATACTCACTCTTCCTCCGCCATCTTGCCAAAGCTGCAGCCCCAGCGCATGCGCAGTCCCACCGCGTGGGAAAGCGTGGCACCGCTCTACGTGTACTTGACCATAGAGACGTCTCTTAGCCTCGCGTCCCGGAGAGCAGGCGTCCCGTTAGCAGCAGCCACCGCGGAGGTCACGCCAGCCCCGATTCCTGCCAGAGGTTGCACAAGGCTTTCTTTACACTGCTCCCAAGGGCTTTGGAGCCCTGTAACATTCAAAACCCTTTTCACTCAAGCTATAGTCTCATATGCCGGGGGCTGGGCTATAAACAAGGAAACGCTTCCCACCGTGCACGACGACTTCCGGTGGGGGGCGGGCGCCGCTCCGCCGGCTTCCGCCGGGCTGCGCGGAAGGGAAGACGGGCCGCTTCCGGGCCGTCTTTTCGCTCCCTACGGAGAGCGCGCGGCGGCGGCTTCGGCTCTTCGGGGGGCGGAGGTCTTGTGAACGACGTCGGGTGGGAAAGTGCAGCCCTGATTCCGTCGGCCCGGCTCCAGCAGCGGGCCCTTGATCTACGTCGTAGTCTCCTTCACCCACAGAACGAGGATAATAACGCCCCAAAAAAAAGCCTCAGGAGGGTGTGTGAGCTGCTCCGGGGGGAGCGCCGGGCACAGGCACCGACCGCCGGCAGCAGCGCTGGTGTTACCGCTGCCGGACCGAGAACCGGGAGTGCCTGCCTCCTCGTCCTCCCAGAACACCCCCTCTTGCCGCCTGGAATACGCTGCCTTCTCTCTGGTCCTAGTAAAACCATGGGACGGAACTCAGTCCTGCCTTTTCAGACATCGCGTCGCAAGCACTTGTGTGCACCGAAGCCACCCGAGGGTCCTGCGAAAATGCAGATACTCGGGAGGGGCGGGGGCGTCAGGTCGAAGGCGGCGTTTTAACACGCTTCGAAGGGATGCTTCGGGGCTAGGAATACAGTTTAACCAGCAAGGCTCTAAGCAGTCTCCGCCCTTTCTCCGAATTCCTGCACACATTTCTTACCCGTGACCCTGGCAGGGCAGGGACCATGCCTGATCCTAGACGTCTAGCACAGGTTCCTCTTTCTTTTTTTCCATTTCAGCTCGGGCTTCTTCATCTTGGCACTAGTGGCATTTGGGGCCCCGGATAATTATTTGTTATGGGGGAGGGGCTGTCTTGTGCGCTGTAAGGGTGTCGAGCAGCATCCCAAACTTGCCCCCACTGTAAGCCAGTAGCATCCCCACGCCAGTTGTGGCACAAAAAAAAAAAAAAAAAGTCTCCAGGCTTTGCCAAGTATCTAGCACAGTAAGGATAGAGCGATGTGCTTATTTGGCCGTCAGCACTCCCAGGGACCCCCACAGACTTCATCCTGTACCATTTGGCCTGTTGCTTCCCTTCTTAGACCGGGTGCTCAGAAGGCAGGGAGCTTGTCTCCTAGTCTCTGATGTACAGCACCTGTCACAACAGTGGACACCTGCAGGGGCTTGCTGGCCGCGTGCAAGGCATCGTATTGGCATCAGCTGTGTAACCAGTCCAGCCATGAAGGAAGGTGCCCCGCACAGAGCTCGCTCCCTGATGAGTAGATACCGACGGACAGTGCCGTCGTCAGGGTCACAGACGGTGGTGGAAGGCTCCTCCTCACCCGTCGCCTCCCCATGTGTCTTCCTTTGTGAGGAGCCAAACACAGAAGCATCACCAAAGTGTGGCACATCCATTAGACACTGAACAAAGAACCAAAATGAGTCAGTATTTTGTAACTTCCCCGAGAGATAAAAGGCAGGTTCTGTGGAGCGGACATATGCGAGAGAGGAGGACTTTCAGGGCTATCGGCAACACTGGCTGAAAAGACCAATTTGGAGGCCAGGATTCAGGGAAGGCGATCCAGTGCCCGCGGGTGGTGCTGAGAGCGTCCTTAGTCTCAGTGCCAAAGCCACCCTCCCACCAGGCTGATCAGAGAAAAAGGGATGGAGGCTTCAACCAAAACTCCCTCACTAACTGAACATGTTTACTGAGCTCTGAGCACGGGCTCTCACCCCGGGTGAGATGATAGTGGGTTTTTTCCTAAGGGCGGTTACTGAGTGAGAGCCTGGCATGGCCATGCACAGCCTCAAGAATCTTATTCTCTGTAGCTTGTCTCAGAGGCTTCTGCTCTCTTTTTTCTTGACCACGTCAGTTGTCCATCGTTAGGGAGTGATTACGTAGATTATGGAAGGCCCTGGCCAGGTAGCTCGGTTGGTGAGAAGGTCATCCTGATAACAGCCATGTTGCCGGTTCAATACCCAGTCAAGGCACATACAAGAATCAACCAATGAATCATAAATAAATGGAACAACAAATCAGTGTTTCTCTCTCTACCTTCCTCTCTCTCTCTAATATAAAAATTTTTAAAAATGTATGGAAGACTCTGCAATTATATGTAGTGATGTAGGTCCTCAAGTCCCCAAAACTTCAGTGGTAGGTGTTTTTCACTTTTTGGCCTGCTGACATCCAATCCTCTTTCCCAACGGTATCCCCTTTCTCCAGTGAACTGTCCCTCATCGTGTACATCTGTGGGCGTGGAGTAGCACAAGCTTGCCCTCCACACATAACGTGAAAGCGTTCTGGGAGACCTGTTCCAGGCCTCTCACCTGCCCAGTGGGAGGGGCCTGGGACCGTAAACTTATCTTCCTTGGTTTTGAATCTTGAGCAGTGGTGACGGAAGAAATGTAGGTTTGCGACAAGCCTTTTAAGGATTTCCACCTCCTGGGATTTCCCTGTTCCTGTGCTGCTCAAGCCTGGTGTTTTTTTCAAACTTCCCTTCAATCCTTACCCTTCCTATAAAACTCCTTATGCTAGTTAACCAGATCAGTTTCTGTTGCTTGCCATCACAGAATCCTGACTATAAAATTCTAAGACATTTGGAAAATGTCTGTATTGGATTGTATTTGAAAAAGAAGATACAGAACAGGGTGTAAGAGCATGGCCCTAGTTGTTTTTGTTTTTTGGCTATAGATGTATTTGTATGCAACAATTTTGGAAGGATATACAAAAAAGTGTAGATGGGTATTATTTTTGGGAAATGGGAGTGGGGCCTGGAATGGGAGCAAGGCTTACATTGTGTGGTATGCCCTTTGTTTATCACATATTTATTAGTTTAATGAAAGCTCTCTAGGTCATTAGCCTCCTGTGATTTGTCTGTTTTAGAAACTCCTCGACTGTATGTTTTTTAAGACCCCTTTCAGGACCAACATTTTGTGGTTCCCTGAGTTAACCCCAGGGTCCCTTTGCTAACAAATCCCACAATAAGTTATGTCAGTGTTCTCTGCACTTTGGGGTTATTTGTAAGCCTGCTCTTTTCACTTAGATAATGAAGCAGTGCCTTCTCCGAAAGGCCAAACCACCACACCCCCCACACCGGAAAGGGGGTCCACCTGCAGTTTCCTATCTGCCCCACACCACCTTCCTGGATTACGACCCTTCTAGCAGCCCATGTCCTTCGTTTCAGGCTTTCCTTGTTGCTTCCTCAGAGGAACGTGGGTTACCAGGAAGCATGTGGGAAAGAGATTACAGCAGGTCCTGGAATGACGTCGCTACATGACAACGTTGATGAGATGCCACAGGAACGTAACTTGTTTATATCAATTGGCTTTCAGTAAAATTGGTTTCCTTGTCGCCGTTTCACCGCAGTTCCGAGAACCTATTAATGACCTTAAGTGAGAACTCACTGTAGTGTGAGAGCAGCCAGATGAGCCTGGAGTTGGGGAAGACAACATGGATAGCAGCTTTTGATCTTGAAAAACAAACGTAAGGGAGCAAAAGTGGGAAGGAAAAAGGAGCTAACAGGTGAGGGGCAGCAGCTTTTTGAGGGTTAAGGACAGACACAGAAAGCTAGGGTAGGAAGGAGACAGTGTGCAGAAGGTAAAACCAAACAAAACCGGAAACCCAAACCTCTTAATTATCCCAGGGATAATGGAACATTAGCTTTTTCTACTTTCCACACGTCTTCAATAACATCATTTTACACCAAGGAATGGAGGCAGCTTCATTTCCGGATGAGTCTTCCTAGTTCGTTGTGGAGGCAGCTGAGTCCGTGTGAGATGAAGCACTGGCACCTGCTTGCAGATGCTGCTGCCCACCCCCTCACACGGCTCTCCTTGACCTTCACAGAAATTAGATTTCCCAGGAGGATCGTCCTGCCTTTGCGGCTGCTGTCAAAGGCCGGGCTACAGCACCTGTGCGCGAGGGGTACAGAGAGGTTTCTCATAAAGGCCTTTCCCCTGCAGCAATGCAGACGCAGGCTGTTCACGTAACCGAATCTACTTTATACGACAAACGCGCCTCCAGCATTTGTGTGCATACTGGGACAGATTTCTCCACATGTTATCACTATAATTACAAACGTCCTTTACCTGCATCCCTGCAGAAAGTCTACATATTTGTTCTCAAACATCACTCAGGAATCTGCACTAAGAACCAGGGCATGGAAATCCAGTTTGTCGCTCTCTACCAAGCGGCAGTCCTGGAGAGTTTCAGCTCCAGTTTCTTTTCTCTGGAACTCCATCCGGCCGGTTCCCAAACGTACCTAGTTATTTGCTTGTTTTCTCTCTAGAGTTGGACTCATAGAGAACAGAAATCATCCCCAGTTACACACGTCCCCCGTGTCTAGCCCGTGCCTATAAACTGCTCCAAGGTTCGGCGGTTACTGCTCTCCACCTTCAGCGGGGTCCCTAGGAGCCCTGCCTGTCTCGGGAGTTAGTCCCGAAGACAGCATAGCTAGTCCTGCTTGAGCGATGCTATTTCAGTGATTCCCCAGATGGTGGGGATTTTGTGTCTTTTCCCTTCCCTCTGTCTCCAAGAATCCACTGGCTACTTCCTCCACATCAGGGAGGACTAGGGTCCCTCCTGAAACAAGGCCTCCCACCTCCACAGCCAGGGCTGAGGGCTTCCCCCTCCTCAGAGAAGATGCCTGGTTCTTTCCTCTGGGCCTGCCCCTGGGGACAGACACTGATCCTAACTAAGCAGTCAGATGGTCCCTCCTTCTAACTCGTCACCCAGGGGGCATCCCCATTGCAAAGGGTCCAAGGGGGACAAGAGCATCAGGATGGACACACATTTGTCCTTAGTAAGGAGAGAAGCTCGACATCAGGGCAACACTGCAAAAATAAAAATAATTAGGGACTCCATCCATTGATGTGACGATTCAAGCAGTAAGTATCCTAATTTCTGTTAGTTATATGACAACTTCCCATTTACATGTTGGTTGTTGCTGAATGTTGTGTTCACGACTGCTACTGCTTTAAGGGCAGGGGAAGCAATGAAACCATAAATAAGGGTGTGAGTATAAATTCTAGGCCCCAAAGAGAAATTTAAGGAGTCCTATACTGTCATCCCTAGAAATATATTTCACCCTCTGGTAGTTTCCCTAACAATTTGGGTAGAGTCACACTCGTGAGGACAGGAACGCAGAAGGGCCTCATGGGACTAATTTTACAGATAAGGTTACATGGGTATTTCTTACCATTTTGGTCAAAGGTGTGACTCCAAAGAGAAACATGTTAATTCTGAAATAAATTTAAAAATGTATTTATTTATACTTTAAAAAAATTGATGAGAGAGAGAGAGAGATTGATGTGAGAAACATTGTTTGCCTCCCACATGCGTCCTGACCAACCAGAGATAGAACCCACAACTTGGGTATGCGCTCTGACTGGGAATTGAACCCCAAACCTTTCAGTATATGGTATGATGCTCCAACCAACTGAGCCACACTGGCAAGGGCTAAATTTTTATTTATTGGTTTTAGAGAGAGAGATCTGTTGTTCCACCTATGATGCATTCACTGGTTGGTTCTTTAATGTGCCCTGACTGGGGATTGAAAACACAACCTTGGTATATCGGGACAATGCTCTAACCAGCTGAGCTACCCAGGTAGTGCTGGAACAAGTCTTATATGAAATAGTTTTCTTTACGGTCAGGACACATGCCTGGGTTTCGGGCTCGGTCCCCAGTGGGGAGCGTGCAGGTGGCAGCTGATCAATGATTCTCTCTTATCATTGATGTTTCTATCTCTCCTTCTCCCTTCCTCAATAAAAATATATTAAATAAAAAAAATTTGTTGACTTTTAGAGAGGAAGGGAGAAAAGAGAAACATCAATGTGAGAGTGTAACATCGATTGGCTGCCTCCTGCATGTCCCCTACTGGGGACTGAGCCCACAACCTGGGCAGGTGCCCTGACCAGGAATCAAACCAGCAACCTCTCGGTGCACGGGATGAGGCCCAGCCGAGCCGCACCGGCCAGGGCTCTGCTTTTGTTCTTTATCCCCTTACTTTCTTGTCCTTGAAGAAACAAAATAAATATAAGAATATATGGAAGGAAACTTCCTACAGATTGAGGCTCACTTATCTAACTTTTCAAATGACCCTGTTTTTCCTTCGCTAGTTAAGGAAGGATCCATGTGACAGGAGCAGGGATGGAGGCCAGAGAAGTACATGACTAAACTTTCCCCACGACCAACTTGGTTTAATTTGTAACCGTTTGGAAAGGCCGATCAATTAAAACCCTACCTTCTCACTGCCTAGGCTACTTTTCGGCAATGGTACGTTTATTTCAACAGAACTCCCACTGAACACTTACTTACCCTTCTTCTGGGAAAAGCAGCCATTCCTATTTGCAAATCAAGACAATCACAGTTGCACATTTTCCCAAATCTTTGGCTGTATTGCAATGGTTGTTTCATTTTGTAATCTCCAACTAAACATTTCCTAACCATGGATTAACAATATAGTTACTGACTGGTTTCTTTTAACAGTATTTATCCAACATAACAAAATAAACTGCAATTTGTTATACTTTTTTACAAAACATTTTATAAATATTTTTACAAAATGTATACAAAGCAATTTCAAGTGAGACATACTATACAAATGAAGGTATTTAAGCAAATAAAGCCCACACCACACTGACAGTGAGTGACGCGTCCTCTTTAAGTCAAGTCAGTCTGTAAGGCCTCCCTAATCTAACAAAGTCTACTAAATTCTTCAGAGCTAAAATAGTTCTTTTTTTCGTAATTGCCGGTTTAAAATTTGCTTTATCTTTAGGCAGTACTTAAGGACACAGAAAATCAAATGCTTAATAACAAATTCACACTTTTCCACAACAACAGAAAAAAAAGAGAGAAAGAAATGATTTTTGTTACTGAGTACAAGTAGTTCTAAAACTTAGACTATGAACCTGAACAACTGAAGGTTGGCCATCTGAGGCTGAGCTCTCTTACCCTTCACCAGAGGGCTCGGCATGCGGGTTATGACCTATGTGCGCATAACCTAATCACAGGAGTAAAACACATCTCGTAATCTTCATTTGTCATTATCTAGAATCTTTCCTCCATAAAAAGTAAACTTACATACAAGGACACAGAAATTTACAAGTTTCATTTTGGTAAATTAGGCTCTCCATTTGCTAGACAAGTGTTAGGGCTTAAAAAACCCTTGAAGGTGGTATATAGAAAAGCTAGGGTTTGGGTAGCAGGGCAGGATGGGGAAGAGGTGCAACAAATGTACATAGAGCTTATCTTGTCTCTTTAAGAATTCCACTGATTCGCAGTAATTAATGTAACTCATTAGCAGCCTTCGCAAAGGCTTCCAGGTATAAAGTTCCACAATGAGGAGAATTTGATCAGGAGGAACCATCTTTAAGTCTTGCTAGGAATTAGGGGAGCATGAGCCGTAAAGGAAGAAGAGCCCGTGAAACCTTGGGGTTCAGGGCCGGGTGCCACCCCAGGGCTGCCCAAACAGAAAGTTCCAACCCGCAACAGCAACGTATCTTCCTAATATGTTACAATAAAGGAAAAAGGGGGGGATATGCAGCGTGGACATTGGCACAAGTAAGGAAAACATGGTAACCCTCAGATGGCCCACATTTCCCGGTTTCTGTTGGCGGGGGTGGGCGTGGGGAGGAGGTGCTCTGCTTTTATGAAGACTGGCTGTTGAGCAGGGTTTCTCTGTTTGGTGGGACAAAGGGGCAGGGAGATATCAGTCTTCTGTTGCTGCGTTTTCTAGCAATCAGAAGCCTTCCTTTCCATCACAGGCCAATCTGGAAAAGACATGTCCAACATGATGACAATGGGAGTCACCCGCATTCTGCGGACAGCCAGAAGCAGGCCCTGGCAACGTGTCAGGGTGGACACCAGTGGGCACACCTCTGAAGCCATAGAGACAAACAGAATAACTGAGAGAGTGCATACACGGAAGGGGGGCGTGTGTACACACTGTCAGCACGACGACCCGGGGACCTGAGCACTCAGGCACATTCACGCCCGTGTGACAGTGCACAGCAAATACCATGATGTAGCTTTCCCAAGGACGGGACCTAACTGATGTTACCATGACACCAAAGTGACAGTAACCACAGAAATGGGGTGACCTGGGCAGGCACAAAAGAAAGGAAATGGGGGAAAGCTCCCTGAAAAGAAATATAAATAAATAAAGCAATGTCATGTCCACTAATATGAACATAGGCCAAACACAAGCCATGACAGGGCACGTCCTTTGGCTCTTGTGTGGGACTCTCGCGTCCCAGATCTCTTCGTTCCGTGGTGGGCTGGCTGGCTACCTTTGGTTTGTCTGTGTTTTGGTAATGATTGCTGCCAGGGGTGACTACTGTGCTCAGACAACAAGCAGCATAAACAAGGCCAAAGTCCCCTTAAGGTTTAAACAGAAAAATTACAACATAGTTTTCAAATGAAAGTGCTTTTGACGCTTGGCTGTTTGTTGTGGGAGAGGGTGCAAAGAGAGGTTAAAGGAAACAAAACCCAGCAACAAACAAAAAGGTACATCCTATGTTGACTCTATCCAATCATAAAATGCAAAACGCTTGTTTTTTCTCACAGTTAACATATATATGCTTTTACATATATACAGATTTATTCCTCAGGCTGCACCCCGGCCCCACCCCGCGCACGGTGCCACCTCACGGGTTCCGTTCCCTTTGCTCAGCCGGGCGGAGGCTCCGAGTCACGCTGCGGCGCTAGGAACGGAGCAGGCCTGGGCCAACCCCCTCGGACGTGCTGGGAAGGCCCGAGGCTGAGCTCAGGAGCCTCGGGAAAGCACGGAACATGAACAGGGGCGCCCTGCACAGGGTCCCCCGCAGCGGCCAGCAGCTACTGCTGAGGCGGCGAGGGGAGAGCTATGTGGTCTCCCCTCCAGCAACAGCAACAAAACCAAAAAGCCAAAATTTGGAGATACAGTGGGGTATGCTTTAAAAAGTAGCTTCTATCAGTCCTGTTTGATTTTCTTTAATAAGTCTGTTCTTTTCAAATGACTTATGATTGTCAGGATTTTTTTTTTTTACCCAGGGCCAAGGGTCCTATGATCGCATTGAGTTACACAGTATTTTTAAGAAAATAAAACAAGTAAACAAAAAACTGACTAAAAGCGCGTTCAGAACACTTGCAATGTGTAGGCCTATCAGACTGCTTTCTAACAAGGACTGGTTCCCTGGCGGATCTCCCCGGACCCACGGCGAGTATTGCTCTTGAGGAAGAACAGGGTGAGAGCAGGAGGGACGGTGATGGGCCGAGCGGGCTGGAGCCAGGAGCCGTCCGTTCGCTTTTGCAGGAGAGACTGGAACT